TCCCCATAGATTAGTTACCAGTGGTAAAAGGCCCCCATACATTGGTGCTCAGTGGGAAAAGGAACCCCCTTATGCTCATGGTTAGAGGAGAAATACCCCCTTAAATTGGTAGTTAGTGATAAAAGGCCTTATTACATTGGTGGAGGGTGGTAAAAGGCCTCATTACATTGGTAGTAGTCAGTGGTAAAAGGCTTCATTACATTGGTAGTCAGTGGTAAAAGGCCTCATTACATTTGTGGAGGGTGGTATGGTGCCCTCTTGCATGGTGTTTCAGTGGGAAATGAGCCCCCTAACATTGATGATCAGAAGAGAAATGTCCCCATAGATTAGTTACCAGTGGTAAAAGGCCCCCATACATTGGTGCTCAGTGGGAAAAGGAACCCCCTTATGCTCGTGGTCAGAGGAGAAATACCCCCTTAAATTGGTAGTTAGTGATAAAAGGCCTTATTACATTGGTGGAGGGTGGTAAAAGGCCTCATTACATTGGTAGTCAGTGGTAAAAGGCCTCATTACATTGGTAGTCAGTGGTAAAAGGCTTCATTACATTGATGGTCAGTGGTAAAAGGTCTTATTCCCATTGGTGGTCAGTGGTGATGTGCCTCCTTACATTGGTGGCCATGATGTCTCCATTGGTGGCCATGGTGTTAGTCATGACAGGCCTCCTAAGAATGGTAAAGAGCTTCCTTACATTGTTGGTAACTGGTATAACACTGGGGTCACTGACAATTTTCCATTTAAATCACTACTTGTTGCCCTGTTGCCAGGGACACAATATACTTTATATTATTTATATGAATAGCAATCAATATAACATTAATCACAGCAGCGCTCCATAATTTTAAAACTTCATAGTTTTCCACCAATTGGTGATGAAAAGTGGAACAAATCCCAAACAGTCAGTGAGATGCTTTCCTCTGGGTCAAATAGCTCACAACTTCACTCCTCCACCTTTAATCAGAGTAACAGATCAATCACCCTTTGTGCTCAGTGAACCACATCACCTCAGGATACAACACAGAAAAAGAAAAGATATTTAATACCCAGTAGTTGTTGTATTCCAACCATATATATGTTACCCAAAATTCATAAAAACTCACAAAATCCCCCTGCCTGGCCGATCGTGAATGGTATAGGATTGGTGACCACTAGATTGGGGCAATAGTTCGATACCTTTTTGCAAACAAGTGTGCTGCAAACTAAGGCATATTTAAAGGACACGAAGAATTTTTTTTACAGTTATTAGATCAGGTGAGCTTAAATGATAAATCAGAAATATATCTTATAACAGTGGATGTGTATTTATGACAATTATTTTTAAACATGAAGTAGCTAGCTCTCAAGTTAAGTTGCATTCACCATTCTTACATAAGTGCTGGGTAATGTGCATTGGTTATGTGCTTTTTAGCACATTTTTGTTTTATATTATTTATATGGCAACAAGGCGGTGGAGATTGCTTTTGATGGAAAACTGTCAAATGCAAATGTTCACACCATTTAGACTTGTTTATCTCAACAGCTAAGCCATGGAAGCCACAAGGCCCACTGCTATTCTGTAAGAAACCAAGTAGTGGGGATGAGAGTCGAGCAAATGCTTTTTATGTTTCACTCTACATTCAGTAGTCTGGCCCGCTGTGTTTTGTATGCTGTGCTGTACAGTGCCTTGAAAAAGTATTCATACACCTTGAAATTTTCCACATTTTGTCATGTTGCAACCAAAAGCATAAATGTATTTTATTGGGATTGTATGTGACAGACCAACACAAAGTGGCACATACTATTATTATTATTATTATTATTATTATTATTATAATACAGGATTTATATAGTGCCAACAGTTTGCTCAGCGCTATATAGGGAGACAATACAGCAACAATACAGTTCAACACAAGAGGGTTAGGAGGGTCCTGCTGCTTGGAGTTTACAATCTATGCGAGAGGGGCTGTTGGAACAAAAGGTAATAACTGTGGGGGATGAACTGATAGGGAAAAAGAAGATTTGGTTATTAGCTGAAGGTAGAATAAGCTTCCCTGAAGAGATAGGTTTTCAGAGATCGCCTAAAAGTGGGCAGAGTAGACTATAGTCTGAGAGATTGGGGAAGAGAGTTCCAGAGGATGTGGGAGGCTCTGGAGAAGTCCTGGAGATTAGCATGGGAGGAGAAGACAAGGGAGCTAGAGAGCAGGAGGTTGTGTTAGGAGCGTAGAGGACGATTTGGGTGATATTTGGAGACAAGATTGGTGATGTAATTTAAGGCAGAGTTATAAATGGCTTTACAGTATATGTTATTGTTAATGATTTGAATTTTATTCATTGGGCAATTGGAAGCCAGTGGAGGGATTAGCAGTGAGGGATGGCAGATATGAAACGTTGGTATGGTGGGTGAGTCTGGCATATAATTGTGAAGTGGAAGGAAAATGATAAATGGTTTTCAAAATTTTTTACAAATAAATATCTGAAAAGTGTGGCATGCATTTGTATTCTGCCCCCTTTACTCTGATACCCCTAAATAAAATCTAGTGGAACCAATTGCCTTCCAAAGTTACCTAATTATTAAATAGAGTCCACCTGTGTGTCATTTAATCTCAGTGGATTAGGAGAAGTTTAAAGCAGGGTTAGGTTATAAAAAAAATATCCTAAGCTTTGAACATCTCACGGAGATCAATCCATCATCCGAAAATGGAAACAGTACGGCACAACTGCAAACCTACCAAAACATGGCCGTCCACCAAAACTGACAGGCCGGGCAAGAAGAGCATTAATCAGAGAAGCAGCCATGAGGCCCATGGTAACTCTGGAGGAGCTGCAGAGATCCACAGCTCAGGGGGGAGAATCTGTCCACAGGACAACTATTATTCATGCACTCCACAAATCTGGCCTTTATGGAAGAGTGGCAAGAAGAAAGTCATTGTTGAAAGAAACTCATAAGAAGTCCTGTTTGCAGTTTGCAAGAAGCCATGTGGGGGACACAACAAACGTGTGGAAGAAGATGCTCTGGTCAGATGAGACCAAAATTAGCTTTTTGGCCTAAAAGCAAAACCCTATGTGTAGTGGAAAACTAACACTGCACATCACCCTGAACACACCATCCCCACTGTGAAACATGGTGGTGGCAGCATCATGTTGTGAGGATGCTTTTCTTCAGCAGGGACAGGGAAGCTGGTCAGAGTTGATGGGAAGATGGATGGAGCCAAATACAGGGCAATCTTAGAAGAAAACCTGTTAGAGTCTACAAAAGACTTAAAACTGGGGTGGAGGTTCACCTTCCAGCAGAACAATGACCCTAAACATACAGCCACAGCTACAATGGAATGGTTTAGATCAAAGCATATTCATGTGTTAGAATGGCCCAGTCAAAGTCCAGACCTAAATCCAATTGAGAATCTGTGGCAAGACTTGAAAATTGCTGTTCACAGATGCTCTCCATCCAATCTGACACAGCTTGAGCTATTTTGCAAAGAAGAATGGGCAAACATTTCACTCTCTAGATGTGCAAAGCTGGTAGAGACATCCCCAAAAAGACTTATTATTAATTATTACAGGTACTTATATAGCGCTATCAATTTACGCAGCCCTTTACATCTATATATGCTGTACATTCCCATCAGTCCCTAACCCTTAAGGGGCGTACAATCTAAGGTACCTAATTCACATTCATACATATCCATACTAGGACCAATTTAGACAGGAACCAATTAACCTACCAGCATGTCTTTGAGGTGTGGGCGAAAACCTATGCTGGCACAAAGGAGAATATGCAAACTCCAGGCAGCTGGTGCCATGGTTGGGATTCGAACCAACGACCCTAGTCCTGCCAGGCGGAAGTGCTAACCATTTAGCCGCTGAGCTGCCCACTTGCAGCTGTATTTGCAACAAAAGGTGGTTCTACAAAGTATTGAATCAGGGGGGCTGAATACAAATTTTGAAAACCATTTATCATTTTCCTTCCACTTCACATATATATGCCACTTTGTGTTGGTCTATCACATAAAATCCCAATAAAATACATTTATGTTTTTGGTTGTAACATGACAAAATGTGGAAAATTTCAAGGGATATGAATACTTTTCTAGGCACTGTATATTACATACTCTAGACAACTGCAATCTGTACAGGCCATATATTTCATGTGTGCTACACTTTGTATATTGTGCTATACATTACAAAGCCCCTGGTGGGCGGGGTGAAAGGCATTGGAGGGCATGGCCAGAGTGGCAGCCGAGGTCATCCTATACACCTATTCAGACTCCTTGGGTCGGTTGAGCGGTGTCTGTATCCCTACATGACCTGAGCTTCTGGTGGCACACTGGTTCCCTGGCTCCCTCTTTCGCAATCCGGTGGGGTAATCTCCTTTTGTTTCCTGGCTTGGAGCGTTGCCGTACGTTCTCACATACAAAGAAAAAGGAATTTAGTTTTAGAATGGCAGCATAAGCATATCTCCCAACTTTGTTACTAAGGAATGAGGGCACCCTGAGATGGAGAAGATATGCGGTGCATTCCACACGCCATGGAAACCATAGTGTACCGAAAGGGAAACTTTTTTCAATTTGGAAAAAGGGAGGGTTATAACCCCTATCAGGTTTTTGCCATTTGTCTCCCATAGGGGAGATTTCACTTCCTGTCCCAAAAACAAAACAGGAAGTAAGAAGAAATTAAAACAAAAAAAGGTTTTTTCTTTTTTTTTTACAATTTACCCACTTGCCCTCCTGAGGATTTACCCCCCTTCCTGACCATGCCATTTTTTGCGTTACAGCGCTGCGTTACTTTAACTGACAATTGCGCAGTCATGCAACGCTGCACCCAAATTAAATTTACGTCCTTTTTTTCCCCATGAATAGAGCTTTCTTTCGATGGTATTTGATCGCTTGAGCGGTTTTTATTTTTTTGCGCTATGTATTGTGAGACGCCTTTGCTAAAAAAAATCTGTTTTGTTTACGTGAAAGTTATAGCATTTGCAAATGGCGGTATATATACTGGGATTTTTTTATTACTAGTAATAGCGGCGATCAGCGACTTATAGCGGGACTGCGGGACTGCAGCGGGCATTCTGACACTGGGGGGAACTGACTTGGTGTCACTGACATCCTCAGTGACACCAGTACAGTGATCAGTGCAAATAAAAAGCACTGACACTGTACTAATGGCACTGGGCAGGAAGGGGTTAACATCTGGGGCGATCAAAGGGTTAACTGTCTGCTGGGTGTGTTTTACAATGTGTGCTGTGTTTGTGCGCACTGTAAGCACACTGCTTTGTATGGCTCTGCTATGCACAGCCATGCAAAGCAGTGTGTAGGAGCTGACAGGGAGGAGAACTGTTTTGTTTACTAACAGTTCTCCCCTCTGTCAGAGATCTTCGGTAATCACCAGAGCCGGTGAGAAATCACTGGCCAGGACCCAGTGATTGACAGTCGCAGCTGTGAATGGCAGCGCGGGTAGGGCAAGCGTGCCCCTGATCCGGAAATGCAAAATCACGTACATATACGTGATTTTGTTCACAGCTGCCGCCCTGTATTTCTGTTGTGGGGGCGGAGCTAAAGCGGTTAAAGAATCGTGTTTAAATAGAATCTAAATCTATATACTGTATACACTGTAGACAGGCTGAAGCAGTGTGATTTTAATCGCCGAAAATATTTTTGGCATAATTTTCATCAGCGGCATGTATTTAGTGTCAAAAACTAAATGAAAATCGATTTGAAATTTTGTCAACTGATGAAAACTATTACAAAAATCAGTTTAAATTATTGCCAATGAACGAAAACGTAACAAAAATTTGAGGGAGGGACGTTTCTTGTACCGAAACTTGGTTTTACTTATAAAGACATTCTATATTGGCTAAATCTGTGTCTGTAGTTTGTTAAAAACTTAATACCATAAATAATAACATAATATTAGATTTTTTCTCCAATAGTATATAATGAGTTTGGAAAATCGAGAGAAATTTTTTTATAATGCTTTACAATTTAACTAAACCCATTAGATTTTAGTAGACTAAAATACGACTACTGTAAATCTAAAATAATTCAGATGACTAAAATACAACTAAAACTAAAACAATTCAGATGACTAAAATACAACTAAAACAATTCAGATGACTAAAATACAACTAAAACTAAAACAATTTAGATGACTAAAATACAACTAAAACTAACACAATTCAGATGACTAAAATACAACTAAAAACAATTTAGATGACTAAAATACAACTAAAACTAACACAATTCAGATGACTAAAATACAACTAAAACACAATTCAGATGACTAAAATACAACTAAAACAATTCAGATGACTAAAATACAACTAAAACTAACACAATTCAGATGACTAAAATACAACTAAAACTAAAATGGCATTTTAGCCAAAAGACTTAGACTAAAACTAAATCGAAATTTGATGTCAAAATGAACACTGGACTGCAGTGCTTGTACTCACAACATACTCCATAAGTGCTGTGCTGTAAATGACAGTATCACTAATATGAACCTAGAACAAGGGCAGGTAATTCATTTTCCCAAGGAGCACAGACTGGGACTGTTGTGGAGGAACACTTGTGGTAATTTTCCAAAGGGGAGAATCTGGGAATGCTGTGGAGGATTGAACTTTACTCTTCTCAATACTCATTTTGGAATGGGAAGGTCATTAAGTTTGTAAATGTAGCGCTACTCCCATAGGTGCTGCAGGAATACTGTCCAGGTCTTTCCAAAAACCTTGAAATTCTTCAATGACCAGTCTAGGGGTGTTTTTTTTTAATTTGTGGGGAACTTGGAAAGGGAGGAGGGAATTAGGTGGGACACTGCAAAAACAAGAACTATGTACACTTCAGGACTTGAAGATTCTTTCAGATAATCTATAACGAAGTCTGTGCTTGAAGCAAACAGTAATCTTCAGCTTTAAGTCAGCAGTAGTAGTAGTAATAATAGCAAACTAGAGCAGAGTCCTTTTAGGTAGGAGATTAAGTGGACAAAGCTTTTTAGCTGGACCCGCAGCTGACTCCTTATCACCAGAGGGGTTTATGTAGCACACAGTCTATAATGGCCTTTAGAGATGTCTGCCCAAGAGCAGACGGTTGCCTTCTTCTGTGATGCCAGACCAGATCTTCAGTAGATGGCCCCTCAGTCAGCATAGCAGAACCTAGGTCTCAACATTTGGGCCCTCAGGCCATCCACCTGAGGGCTATGGCAGTAGATCCAGCAGAATTGCCTGGGAGGGAAGCATGCCCTCTCCAGACTGGAACAATCCTATACAGGAAAAACCCAGAACTCTGTGAACTCACTGAATATATACAGTTACCCAGCATGCCATCAGAGCTTCTCTCTCTGGGATAGGCCGGGGTTGTGTCAATATTTATGCTGCCATCTGCATAGCGCCACTCCTATCATCCAGAAGCTTCTCAAGTTTTCTGGATGCAGAGGGAGCTATCAGACTGGCAGCAGTTGAACTCACTGGGCAGACCTAACTAGCAGACCACAGCAACACTGATTACAGTGTGCAAATGTATGCTTTTAACTAAGAACATTTATAACCACACTGACTACAGTGTGACAGCTAAATTTACCTAACTAAACCTAGCACCTATCTAGGAGGGTGCTACATACACATGAAAACACCCGGTGCTAGGAATAATAGGTACAACTGCTCATGAAACAGGTCTCTTTAACCACTTCCCACCCGGCTTATAGTGAAATGATGCAGGGTGAGCCTCTTGTCCCTCCGAGACGGCGTCATATGACATCTTTCCTGGATCGCGCCTTGAGCATGCCTGCAGGGCCGCGCTGTGGCGAGATCTGTCACCGACTGTGTACCTCGGATATGGCCAATGACATATCTGTGTACCAGCTCTGTTGCCCAATCACAGCAGGTCACATGACAGTTGTAAACAATGGATGGCTTCCTTTCATGCCATTGTATTGAGTCTAGCTGTGAATGGTCACAGTGATCACATGCACAGGCTTGGCCAATCACAGGCCATCTGTGTCATGTGATTAGCCATGGCCAATCACAGCTAATCACAACAAAAAAACGGAATGAATTGATTTCATTCAGTTAAATGCTAGCCTATAGCAAAGAAATTCATTGCTATAAGCAATTTGTGTAAAAAAAAAAAAAAATTACTGATCACTTCTGCAAATTAGTACAATGTTACTATGGTAACATTATACTACTTTGGTCACAGTGTAATATGAAAATAATCTTAAAAAAAGAGAAAACAATGTGATAGAAACTAAATAAATAATTAAAAAAAAAAATTATCAATGTTTTTTTATGTACTCTCACCAGTCAGTGTCCCTGATCACCACCACATCAGTTATATGCTGATGCTGTACTGCACTGGTGACAGCTTGTAAAAAAAAAAAAATTGTGAAAATAATTTTTTTAATTTCTTCATTTTCTGAAAAATTATGACAAAAATCATTTGGGGGATATCTGTACTGTTCTGACATTTTTGGGCCTCAAGAAATTAGATTGGCTGTCAGTACTTCAGGATTGATCAATATTCAGATATATACCATAGTTTGTGAACTCTATAACTTTCCTACAGTCTAAATAATAAATACTGATTTGGGTTATTTTCACCAAAGACATGTAGCAGAATACATCTTGGCCTAAATTTATGAAGAACAATTATTCATTTGCAAACTTTTATAGCAGAAACAAAGAAAAACGTGTATTTTTTTAAATTTTCTGTCTTTTTTTGTTAATTTAGCAAAAAATCAAAACCCCAGTGGTGATTAACCACTTTGCGCTGGCGCCTCCCAGACCTTTAAGAGTTTCAGAAGCCGGGAGGCAGGCAGGGTTTTAGGGTCATGTGACTGCCGTGATTCACGGCGGTCACATGATCGGAAAAAGGTCCCAATTGTAAGGGGAGATCGGGACCTTGCAGTGAGTCATGGACATATGTGCTGGGAGCGCGCAGGGCATGCGCTCTCAGCACATATGTATTTTCCAATGGCACGCAAATATGCAGCCGCTCGGTGTCAAGGCCCAGATGCCGAGAGGCTGCATATTTGTGTGCGCTCAGCGTCAAGGGATTAAATGCCACCAAAAGAAAGCTCTAGTTGTGTTAACAAAACGATAAAAATTTAGTTTGGGTACAGTGTCACATGAGCGCGCAATTGTCATTCAAAGTGTGAGAACGCTGAAACCTGAAAATTGGCCTGGGCAGGAAGGGGGTAAAAGTGCCCGGTATTGAAGTGGTTAAACTACTTCCCATCCGACCCATGTATATAAATGGCCAGACGGGAGCAGTGCAGGGGCGGGTTGCCGTTCATAAACAGCACTGCCATTTTAGCCTGTGCGCGCTCCCTGAGATCTCTGTGTGAGGTCCTGATTGGCCAATCAGTGATCAGATGAATAGTAGTACGCAAGATGTCATTTGCTTACATCATTGCTTACTACGTGTGAAATCTGTAAATGATCACAGAAATCACATGGTACAAGTCTATTCACAACAGCCTTATATCATGTGACAAGCTGTGACCAATGACAGCTCGCACAGTATTTCTCAATGGCTGCAAGAATGCAGCCAGAGAGAAGGAGAAATTATTGCTTTTACAGACTTTATGAGTGTAAAAGCAATCAGTGTAAAAGAAAAAAAAAAATTTTCATCACCCCCACTATGATGACACTTGACTGCTAGGGTGACAGTATGTTTAAAAAAACAAAAAAACAAAAACGTAAATAATAATATAAAAAAATAAAATAAAAATGTAAAAAGTTTGAAAAATTATAATTTTTGGTTATAAACTAATTTGGGTTATTTTGTTTTTTACTAAAAAGATAGATGAATACATTTTGGCCAAGATTTATTAAGAAATATTATTTATTTGCAAAATTTTATAAGAAAAACTTTTTTTCAAAATTTTTGGACTTTTTAATGTATATAGCAAAAAAAATAAAAATCCCAGTCATGAATAAATACCACAAAATGAAGTTTTATCTGTCTCAAAAAAATTCATATGGGTACAGTGTTGCATGACTGCGCAATTGTCATTCACAGTGTGACAGCGCTGAAAGCTGGAAATTGGCCTGGACAGGAAGGGGGTAAAAGTGTCCGGACTGGAAGTGGTTAAGATGGGAGGCCAAGGGTGGTAAAATTTAGGTGGCTGAGCCACCCATCTGAACTGTAACACAACAGCCAGGTGGGGCTGTTCACACGGTGGAGCTGCAATGCTTTGCTTTCTGGTCCTAGTATTTTTAACTTGGGGTGCACCTTTTAATTTTTTCTGAAAAGGCGAACAAACACTTTAAGGAATGCTTTTGAATGACAAGTGTTGGTGGTTTGGAGTTGTTTTTGAAGAATGATACTGTTGTATGTTGTGACATGTCAGACTCACATTCATGTAGAATTGTAAAATGATTGAGAGG